GATGTAAACCTTCGGTTTCAATTTCTTTATCTGACTGTTTAGCTGATGGGTCTGCTGTTTCATGGAGATTCTTGGAGCAGGTTGGGTAGGGGCAACTCTTTTACCCATGATTTTCTTTGGAAAGATCACACCAGGTATTGATTGTAACGGAGGATCCAAAGAGGTATTTGTATGAAGGTGAAAATAGAATGGAGACAAACGGAAAGACATTTAAAAGATGCTTGTAATGATGGTTTTTCTACGCAAACATTGCAAATACCATTCAATATTCATTTCATTCATGAGTCAACAACACCTTTACCCAATTACTTGGATACCTTTGAAAATAATTTCCATCTACTTTGTTAAATCATAATTTTTTTTATAGTATTTTAATTATATATGTAAAGGTTCATCGATTACATATTAAAGAGAAATTCATATCTGTTGTGGAACAATTTTTTTTAATGTTCGAAACATTTTTTTTCATAAATCTGTTGTCATGATGTCATGAAAATAAAATATTATGTCATTGTAAAAATCTTTTAAGAACTATAATTATAAAACTATAACAGATTTATTATCATCTCAAAGCTATGTACTAAAAGAATACTGATAATGTATAAAAACAAATAATTGATTTTATACATGTTTGTATGTTTAAGTTTTTAACCATCAAACCATAGCTTCGGGGTCGTTTGTCTAAATGCTTACCCGGTAAGCGCTTATAGTTAGGAGTCAACACTATAATATATTTACCAGGTAAGATTGTAATACATCAAAATGATATTATATGTAACAATTTACCCAGTAAGCACTTACCCGAGTAAGACTATCCATCTTTATCATTGCTCTTATCGGATAAGATTTTTAACCCTTGCCATGTTCATCTGGTAAGGAAAATTACCCGGTAATCTCTTACTGGGTAAGCGTTTGGTAAACGGCCCTTAGTTTGTAATAATTTTGTGTTTTTACAACTTTTTAACAAATTTAACATGCTTTATATTAAAAACACACAATCATCATCTTTTATGTAAAATAAGTAAAATAAACTGTACAAGATCTTTCTAAATACAAAGCGTGAGAACTTATGTGTTTCCCAATTCCCCAAACTGCTCGGGAAACACAAAAATGATACAACATATTGCTACTGCATGTTGCCAACACAAATTCCATTTTTACCCTTACTCAATTTGCATTACGAGATTTGTGGGTCGGGTTGCAATTACAATTAGTATCACGATAAATCAAGCCAGAGTGGACGCCTTCGTAGGCGTCTCCTTAGATAATATTTCTCATCAATCTCAACCCAGCCATCTGCCCATCTGACAATCATAATGTGACACGTGGCAAGAGAGGTAAAAAAGAAAAAGTCATGAGATCGGGGTTGGAATTTTTTATTTAATTTGTTTAACCCACATTTGTCTTATTCACGATCTGGTCTCTAGATTGCTAATGAAGATGGTCTTAGGAAATAACAAAACCACAATTTAAACTCGTAACTTCTTGAATATTACCATGTAATTGGTACATTCAGAACACCATCGGATTAAATATCTAATGAACTAAAATTCCAAAATATGTTGGTCAAGATACACAATTTGTGAATCAAAAGCATGATTTGACCTTCGAAATTCACTTACTTGTATGTATATGGACACCGGTCAATTTATTTATTAAAAAATAAATATAATAATGGTCTATTCATGAGAACCTGTTTTATTACGTAATAAAATAATAAAGGAAGAGACACGTAGAAAATACAAACACAAGTGCATGATTTGTTAATAGCAATCAAATTGCCTTCTTCGCTCCGGTGCATCAAGGGTGTTAATAAAACGTCGATTCAAAATTGAATTATGAACAAAACGAAATCAGAAACGAGGTTAGTTGTGTAATATGGGTCGTTTTCAGTTTGGGGTTTATGTGATATGTATTATATTGTCCGATATATATCTCTATATAAGAGGATTTGGGGGGACTTGGATTTCAAATTCATTCTAATCTCATGTTTGGTTTGTTGGATTGTTTGGATTTGAAATCCTTCAAACATATGATTTTGAAATCCTCATGGAGTACTCGAGATTTCATGGGATTTCGTAAGATTGTATGCAATAAGGTTTTAAAAAATGTTAAAAACATTTGTTTTATAATAATCGATTAATAAAAATAAGTTAATCATTTTTATAAATTATTTATAAATAATGAAATTCAATTCAATTTTATTTCATTCCAAATCCTACAAACCGAACACATGAATGGTTTCAAATCCATTCCAATTCAAATCCCTCCAAATCCAAATTTCTCCATGAAATCCAAATATCTCAAATACATTCACTTTATTGTTTCACTCACAAACTTTAAATAAAAATCATTGTTTTGCATTTTAGTTTGACATATGAACTTTGATTATCTGGTTTCACTTGTAAACTTAAAATAAAAATCATTGTTTCATTTTGGTTTCAGTTTCATCTATGAACTTTAAATAAACATAATTGTTTCATTCTGGTTTCATCTATGAACTTTAAATAAAAATCATTGTTTCACTTTCTGATTTCAATTATGAATTTGATTTCCTGCCTTCAATTATGAACTTTCTGATTTTACCTTTAAACAAAAATAATTTAATTATAATTATTAATTATCTTCCAAAAAATAAAATAGGATTTTTTCAAAATAAAATAAAATCATTTAACTATTATTATGATTATCTTCAAAAACTAAAAGATAATAATTTGTTCCAAAAGTGTCTTTCATTTAATACCATTTAATTCATTTATTTTTTTAAATCAAGTTATAATATCTTATTTAACCACAGCCGTTGATTAAAAAAACGAAACGTTTAGATCGGTTAACAAATTTACTTGGTTAACTAACTAGTTATGTACTCGTGCAATGCGGTGAGAGCCATGAATTTTAACGATTTTGAAGTTTCACTGGTTTTATTAGAGAATATTTAACGATGATATAAGTTACATTTGATATTTACATATTAATACAATTTGAATAAATAAAAGTTATGGTTCCAATTACAGTCTATCGATGAAAAAAAATTGTATAACAATTTAAAATCCAACATATTTAAACGACTCAAAAAATGTGTTCGATTTACACCAAGAGCAAAAAATCAAAAAATGTTAATGGACGGACATGAGTTATACAAAGTTAAAAATGAACAGACCTATCTGAGCCATTAATAGTTTTATAATTAAAAAGAAAAAAATATATACCATCAGTTTGTGAACCTAAAATCATAAATATGACTTTATTTGGTCAAGTTTTTATCCTATTTGGCCAACATACTCCATATTTCGCGAAATAATTTTTATTTAAAAATTATATATTTTCGTCTGATTTTAAGTTAAAAAATTGTTATATAGTTTGAATTATTTTATATAAATTTTATTTTCTTAAAAATGTAAAAAGGTTTTTAGGTCCGTTAGTCTATAGACAAGCCCGACTCATTTGTATGATGGATAATGTCAAAATTTCACACTTGTAAAAAAGAGATCAAGCTTGTTACACTAGGTTAACTGAAAAAATATGTAAGATTGTCTAAAGCCGACCAATGCTCAACTCTATTTTATTCTAACTCCTACAAAATTAGGACAAATTGTATGAAAAAATAACGTATTTTAACTTGATTTCTATTTTGGATAACGTACTTTTAAAACTTTCATTTTGATACCTAAGATGTAAAGTTTTAAACATTTAAGTACCCGAGTAACAAGTTGAAATATCATCCGGTTACCATACTGATGTGGCGAGTGATGTGATATCCGACTCAATATTATTTGCTATTCAACTCAATTTCAATCTCATCACTCGCCATATCAGTATGGTAACCGATTGATGCTTCAACTAGTTACCCGGATATTTAAATGTTAAAAATTGTACATCTTAGGTATCAAAATTAAAATTTTAAAAGTATATTACCTAAAATAGGAATCAAGTTAAGATATTTGCACATAAAATTTTGAAGTGAACAACTTGGTCTTGTTGTCAAGAGGTTGAAGATGTGGGTTAATGGATTTAACTTCGTGGGGTGTTCCTATTTCATCCAATTTAATAATTTAATTAAAAAAATATTTAAGGAGGAGACGAAAAAAAGATAACGGAACGTTGCCGTTTTATATTGTGAGATTAATTTGGATGGTTTGTGGTAGGGGTGAGCATAGGCGGGTACCCGCCCTTTTTGACAGGAACCGGAACCGGAACCGGAACCGGCGGTTCTTGAGATATTGGAACCGGAACCGGAACCGGTTAGAGCGGTTCTTAAATTTTTGGAACCGGAACCGGAACCGCCGGGAACCGGTTCCGGTTCCGGGTACCCGCTTCCTAAAATATTAAAATTTTGTTATTTAGAAATAAAAAATAAAACATTGCCAAAACACTAAATAAATAAGCAAGAATACAAATTATATAGAATAATGGTTACAAATATTGTTTAACGATTACAAACCATAATAGACTAATAGAAAATGTTCAAAGTTTAACGATTACATACTATAATGGTAAATGTTCAAAGTTTAACGATTACATACTATGAATCCAAGTGAATACACAATTTGAAAAAATACGAATCATTTTACATGAATAATTTAGATGAAGAATGAAGATGACGACATGCTTTCAAGATGTAAACCTAATATAAATTTGGTATAAAAAAAATAATAATTATTTTTTTATTGGAAAATACCGGGTACCCGGCGGGTAACGGTTCCGAAAAATTGAGAACCGGAACCGGAACCGTTCTCAATCGGTTCCGTATTTTAGGAACCGGAACCGGAACCACTCATATCGGTTTCGGTTCCGGAACCGGCGGTTCCAAGGCGGTTCCGGTTCCGTAACCGGGTACCCGGTTCCGCTGCTCACCCCTAGTTTGTGGGAAGAAACTCATTAGTTACGAAGTTAGAAAATGGTAACACAAAATTGTTTTCAACTAAAATTTCGTTAAATTAATAAAATGACAAGTTGACATACTTCAGGGACCATTTTTGAAATATTGTTCTTGACATGTTTTATTTGTGTAATGGATGAACGAATTAGGGCAAAATTAAGCTCTCCCCTCTTCCACTGAATCGAGGCTACACGCAGAGAGAAAATTAGAAGAGAAAGAGAGAGATGGGATGGATCGGGGAGCAAATCGATTCGGTGAAATCTATGCAGTTCAGACAACTCTTTACTCAAGCCATTAGCCTTGGTTCATGAATTTTCTCTCTATCGTCAATTTTGTTTCTCGTTAGAAGTTGGATAGTTTAACTTTACTTGTTGACCCCATCCATTTTATGTGATTCAAAACAAATTCGACATCAATCTGTAGATCTTTACTTGTTTTTGAAGTTAGGGCATGGTTCATCATCACTGAATTGTGAAATGCCTTGTAAATGTTTGGATTTTTGTGCATTTAGTTATTGTAGTTTGATTTTGTCGCGTGATGAATCGTCTTGTTTCTCTTTAGTGCTTATCTTGGAATTAATTTCGAAGTTTAACCATGCTTTGTATTCATCACTATGCAACCCTTCTCTTGTGGTAGAGTGCGTAGAATGCATAGATTTTTATTTAATGATCATCTAGCGCTCTCTGTTGCATCCATGAATAAATGTTCAAAGAACTTGACCAATGTGTAGGCTTTATATTTTTTAGTTCTTGGATCAGGGTGATATTCTGAATCTTGTTTCTTTTCACTCTCTTTTCCAGGTATGATTGTTACATCAGCATTAATAATATGGAAAGGGCTGATGTGCATAACTGGTAGTGAATCACCTGTTGTCGTTGTGCTTTCTGGAAGTATGGAACCTGGCTTCAAAAGAGTAAGTGAGCAGATATCCATCTAGCTTATTGTCTACTTGAGGGGATGGTATATTTGAAGTTTCAGCTTTTGGTAACCGAAGTTGTCCAATGGTTCATCTTCAATATCTTCATGTCATTGGATATTATCAGTACTTGTTTCCTCATAGCATTTCTCATTGAGCCTAGATAATACTTGTCACATGTCATATGCTGCAAGTTTCCACCTTCACCCCTGTTGAGAAGTATAACTTGTTTGCATGTAAATTTGATTTTTCTCCTAACCCTTTTGAATGTCTTGCAGGGTGATATTCTGTTTTTGCATATGAGTAAGGAACCAATTCGGGCTGGAGAAATCGTGGTGTTCAATGTTGATGTATGCTGCTTAATTATGCTTTTCCTTTCTTATTAGATGCTTTTGGTAGATATCTGTTTCAATCACTGATTCAGTAGTGTCTTGATAATTTAAGAACTTCCATGCACATATAGCATACAATTTTTTAATCTGATTAAACTAGGGAGATCCTGTACCTAAATCAATTATATTCATCTATAATTTACTAGGTAGTATCACTAAATTGTGATAAACTTTTTATTGTTAGTACTTGACAAAATTAACTTCCCTAATGTGTGTTTCTGACCTTGTTATTTCTATGTAGGGACGCGAAATTCCAATAGTTCATCGAGTGATTAAGGTATGTGTTTCTAGAAGGCATTTGTCTTCTCTTCAGATTTTTCCATATCTATTGTATCCGATAATTGTAAGCAATAGCCGATGATTTTGGAGACGAAGGGATTGGCATACATTTTATAAAATCACACCTTTCTCCAACTACGATGTATCAACTTACTTATCAATAGGATGGTCAAAGCAAGATTTCTTCTATATCTTGCTCTAGCAAGTGACAGGTCCACATAGTTAGTACAGGACATCTCTTTTTGGGCCTTCCTATCTGTGGTACTGTTGTCGATATTGATTTCATTATGCTTGTGGTTATATGTTTGCAGATCATCATATTGGTTCTCATGATTTATTTCCAAATCTAGCATATATTGTTTTCTTTAGAACTTTTTGTTTCAAACATGATGTATATTTCTGTATAGTGATACACTGATACTGTATTTAGCAGTAATATATTTATTGCAATTGCTTAGTCCTGGAGATGTTTCTTGTTCTCTATATTTATATGCCTGAAATGAGCTTGCTGAAAATATAGAATAAATTCTATTAACCTTGTAGAGTTATGCTAGTTAAGTGTCTGAATTGTCCTTGACCAAATTAACATACCGTGCTGCTGTTTCTTCTCCAGTACGGTAGTACCATTCATACTAATTCGCTGAATGCTAAGGGGGAGTTTGGTTCGTTTTAAGGAATAACGGAAATAGGAACGAAAACTGTTGAGGAATGGGAATGGGTATTTTGACTATTTTCATTGCATTATTTTATATTGTTGTACATTCCCTGCATTGTTATTGTTTGGGAATGAAAAAACCATGGTTACCACTACTTACTCCATTGACAAGAGGAACTCTGGTGACGGCCCCACACAACGAAGCTACTCCAGTGACCAAAAGAAAAAACCCTGGAAAGAACCCACAACTCTTTATCAACAAACCAACCACCCTCTACGGTTTTCCACCTGCTCTTTACACGATTCTGAAGATCGAACATCAAATCGATGAAAATTAAACATCAAATATCGAACAGATCTGTACACGATTCTGGGGATGTGTGGTTCAATTTCAAACATATCTGTACATGATTCCAGGGATGTGATCGAATAAAATCTTTGAATTCTCCAGGAAAACTCAATGATGTATTAGAGACAGCGATCGAGATTAGAGTAATAAAGTAGATTAGGTTATGGCAACGGCGGAGGAAAAGAACAGAGAGAGAATGTTTTTTCTTTGGATGTACAATGTAACAGAGACAGAGAGAGCGGTGTTGATAGAGCGGGTAGATAGAGAGAGGCGGTAATAATCTCTTCAACTTTTCCTTTCCCTAAAAAATTTGGAGTAATGGTTTATCTCCCCATGTAAGTGAATGATTGATTACATAATACAATACCAGCACTATTAATGACTCCATTTACATTTCTTATCTAAACCAAACACCATAGTTGATTTCCATTCCCATTTCCCACCCCCTAATTACCCCAACCAAATATCTCTGAAAAAGTTTACCGTTGTTTTACTCCTTCGTATGTTCTCATTGACTCTTCCATAATCTTACTGTTTAGATTTGTTTTTGAGCAACTTATTCAATTATCAGGGATCACATTGGTTTTTGACTTGGTCGTTTGGCACTGCAATGCTATTTCTCAAATTGTGAATTACTTTTTAAAAAATCATAACTTCATTAGATTTTTTCCCTGTTACAAAAGCTGTATTGATCATTTGAACTATGGGACTAATTGGTTATTTCCACTGATATTCCCCATTATAATATCTAATGATGGATATTTTCTGTAGGTTCATGAGCGTGAAGATACTGGAGAAGTTGATGTCCTTACAAAAGGTACATTGCATTCCATTCATCAATTAGATTTAACCAGCTATGACTTGGCAATAAGTTATCAGAAGTTCTACTGTCGCAAATTGAGCTTCTCGAAAGTCAAAATGACTAGTTGATCATTGTTAATGTACAGCTTGTTTCTCATATATTTGAAAGAACAAATCTCGAGTCATTAAGTTGGCAAAAACATCGCAGAAACAAATCACAAAACAACAAGCTTGGTTGTCATTGAGTTGTTAGACCGATAATTAAATTTCCTATGTGGTTCAATTATAATGACACTCCACCTTTTGTTCCATTTATCAAGCCACAAGATGCGGCTCTAATTTAATATAAGGGAAGACCGAGTGCCTTTTTTGACTTGAAGTTTGTTGTAGAAATTTCTCAACTGTTTCTGGTTTGAGGTTGAAAGAACAATATGAACATTTCTGAAAGAGGAATATTTGAAAGGCGATAATGCTGGTAGGTACTGGTGTTATCTTTGTGATGGTTCATAACTACAGAGTGCAGAGTGTCATTGGACAACCTGAAGTCCCACAAAGATCATGGCTTTAAAAAAAGGGGTTTGAGTAGACTGAAATCATTTCAGAAACAAAATGTAGTAATTTGGCCCGAGTTTTTTAATCTTCAATTACTTGATTATTCGATGGCCATTGTGTTCTTTCAGGAGACAACAATTTTGGAGATGATAGGCTCCTGTATGCTCAAGGCCAGATGTGGTTGCAACGGCATCATATCATGGGGAGAGCTGTTGGGTAAATTAAGATTCAAATTGTTTGTTTATCCAACACCAATTACATTGACCTTATTTGTTCTTAAATGGAATACCTGCATCTGGTACTTTTTGCAGGTTTTTGCCTTATGTTGGTTGGGTGACGATTATAATGACAGAACAGCCTCTCATCAAGGTTAGATTTTTGTACCAGTTTTGTTTATTATCTCGGTTTATAACCGAATAGCACTGGTGCATAATTTACGAGCATTCCGGAACTAACCCTAGTGCCAATTATGGGGAAGATATTGTAAACTTAGGTTCCAACTGTAGCCCTTCACCAGACTGTCCCTGGGAAACTGCAACATCATTTGTCAAATACCAAAAATGCACTTCAATATCTCCATCCCAAAATAAATATTCACAATGAAAAGACAGTCTTAGGAATCATTATACCACTTTCGTTCCAAAATTAATGTCCACGATGAAAAAAGCACTCAGTTTTAGTAACGTGTAATTATTACACTTTTTAATTAACAAACGGACTGTATCAAGAAAACAGAACAATTTTACCCTTGATTACAGAGAGAAATTTTCACCATCTTATAATTAAGGGTAGAATGGAAAAGTAGACATTTATTTTGTAAGTGGACACGTATTTTAGGACAAACTAAAATAGTAATGTTGACACTTATTTTGGGATGGAGTATTTTGTACTTGACTAAATGACATTTTCACCCTTAATGATAAGGGAGTAAAGAATTTCTCTTCTCACAAGGATATAATTGGAAAGTTGACACTTACTTTTGGAAGTGGACACTTAATGACGATAATCAGCAAATAGGTAGTTTTAACACGTGAACTTCTCCAAAAAGGAAATATCGTGTTTTTCATGTAACATGAAGGATATAATCAGCGTCTATATTCTTTAGATTTTGATGTTTCTATTTGTTAATTCTGTTGTTTTTTTCTTGTTGTATGCAGTATATTTTAATAGGTGCTCTGGGACTGCTAGTAATAACTTCAAAAGAGTAGCAAGCATCAATCCCTTCATAGAAAGGTTATTCAATCATTGTAGACATCTCTATTTTTGTGTTTTTCATGGTGATGGACAGTTATAGCTTCAATACAAGACCTATTTTGTGCTGTGTATGTGTATGTTTATGTTTTCCCCTTTGCGATATGATCAAAATTACATAAAATGTGAGGGCAGCTAAGCAGCTAAATTTAGAAATGCTCGGGGCCAGGCCTTCCAAGCACGTTTTAAGTGAGCAACAAAAAAGGCCTGGCTTTGAGGTTATGTCTACGTTGGTTCAAATCCAGCTCGGCCCAACAAAGGCCGACTTTCGTCCCTGCTCAACGGATGGGTCTTGCAGTCAAGCTCCCTTCTGCCTTTGCACCCTCGGGCCGAGAAAAGGGTCCAATAAGGCCTTTTTAGACTTGGGCTTTTTACCCGGGTTATTTCAGGCTGGGTTTCTGGGATGGGCCTAGGTTCGGGCTTGCTGCCAATATTTTGGCCTGATTGGGCTTTGAGGCCTGATCTGGACCGGGCTTCGAGCTGATTGGGCCTAGGCTTTTTTGGGTTACCCACTACCTAATGGTTTGTATGAAAGAGAAGTTCAAATGACATCCGGCTAAGAGCATCTACGAGAATTTGAATAGCTCAAAAATATCTGTTATATCTATGCTTAACAAAACAAGCTCGTTTCTAATTTGAACTAAAGATATATATCAAAATCCTATCTTTGGTACATACTGCATGCATATTAATATATGCTCATTTTTTAAAAGATAGAAACACGAGCCGAGTTCTTTAAACTCGGATTTAGTTTGTTATATGTATCAACTTTGTATTTATATTCAAACTCGATAAAAAATTAACCTTTTACAATCCTAACGAAGCCATATAGCCAATATATTAATTAAAATAAAACATCGATTTTGTATTCGTGTTATTCGTTTTCTAACGAGTAAATGTCATTTCTAATCACCATACTTATAATAAATATCATAAATAAGGGTGGTGGTTGATCGGTTTGAGCTTGGGATCTAAAGGTGAAAAATGTTTAGAGGTCATAGGTTTAAATCCAAGGAGAAATACAAATCTCCTTATGGCCACGGAGGTCCATATGCGGTGACTTCGGGTTACCCACAAAGCAAATAGTCGTATTAAGATTAATCGGCTTACATAATGAATTGGATATTCAGGTTAAAAAAAAAATCATAAATTAACGAGAACCAGTTAAAATAATTGTAATACAAATGGAGTATGTTATTTGTTTTAAAAAATAAAAAATATGCTTTATTATTCTATACTTCCTATAAATTTATTAAATTCTTTGTTTTATTATTATAATTATTATTTTGCAGAAAATAAATAAACAATATATACATATATATATATATATATATATGAATTATTATGCAACTCTTTACATTTGTATAAATAATACAACTCAATCGTAACCATCCATTTAATTTATTAAATATGTAATTTCATACAAAATTTGATTGTTTTTTAATATAAAATATTAATCATAATTAATAAATTTTAATCATCTTCTATAAATATTTAAATTATAATAAATGAATTCTCATTCTTTTCAGAAATATGTTAGATGGTTGAGATGTATTAATGAATTTGAAATATACCACTTCTATCTCTATCTCTATCTCTATCTCTTATATGTATGTATATATATAATAAAAGAGGAATTATTTGCAAATGCAAGTGTAGATTTAAAGTTTGAATGGTGGTTTTATGATTTATAATGGAGCCGTTGAATTAATGCAATGTTCAACAGAATGGGGTGTTTAATTTTTTATTATGCAAAAAGATCAGAGGGAAGGAGATTTCTCTTTCCTCATGGTGCCTGAATCCGTAGAAGAAGGGGGTTGGTTATTTGCAAAAGTCTGCATTTCTCATGGATGTCACGGATTCCGCCACCACCACTCTTCCACCGCCACCGCCATCCTCTGAATCCGCCCCTCTTCTCTCTGATTCCACTCTCCAACAAGCTTCTCCTCAGGTACTCATATTTCATTCCCATTATGTTGAAATCTCCATCATTCGGAAATTTTATAATCCTGTTTCGTTTTCTATATTCTAGGTGTCTCCTTTTAGGTTTTCATGTGATCGATGATGAATTTGAAAGATATGTATAAAACTTTGTTATCTTCTACGTGTTTATATTTATTAATCATCAATTGAATCATATCTTTGATGATACATGAAGAATCTTATCTGTAGCTGTAATGATAACTATTTAGAAAAAAAAAGTTGTATTGTAAGTTTGTTCTTCATTTAGTTGCTTGCCCTAATTTACTTTTGTTCTTCATCGGTGTTCTCTAATAACCACTTGTATACATGTTTGTTTTTTGTTCAATTCGTGTTGGATTATATATAGAGCTTCTATGGTTAATCATGGGTTATCATGTATGTTCGTTTAGCTATGTTCTGAACATTGCCACAGTTACCAATCATGTATTTGATTTGATTCCTATTTGATGTGGAATTCGTGTGAATGGTCATCAATAAGGCCGACTCTATTAACATAACATGACTTGACAAACTATGAATCATGCTACTAAATCCTTTACAATCACTTGGGCCATGTTTGACAACCATAAAGAGCATCTACGATGGAGGTTTTCTTTATAAGAACCCACTTTTTGTACTTCTGTTTTTTTCCACCATACCAAATTAAGAACCTATATAGAACTTTACAATGGTAGTTCTTATAAGAACCCATTTTGTGGGTTCCATGTATTTTTTCCACGTCAATAATAGTTATAGTCTATAAAGTATAAAAAGACTAACAAAAAAGTCTCTTCACACCACTTCCAAGGTAAGAACCAAGGTTCTTGTACAATAACTGAAAGGATGTGAGGTTCTTATAAGAATTCTCTAGTCTCTCCAATGGTGGTTCTTCTAAGAACCCACACTTTTTGCTTATGAGAACCTTGCATTGGATATGCTCCAAGCTAGCTTATTGATATAGTCCCCTTTGGTTTACCATAACAGTTAGCTTTTCGAAACGCTACTTTAAGTACGTCACAATAAGCTCTAGGAGGTTTTTTTCCACTTTTTTCCAATTATGCCCCTTATATTTTTTTAATTTTGTTTTAACATGTCATTTTTGGTCATTTTACATTGTTTTCTAGTTTTTATCAAACATGACCAGCTTATCAGCCAGTTTGCCAAACATCGTCTTAAAAGTCACACATTCACATTTCAATATGCAATCTCCAGTTTTATCAAAAAAACCACCTGACTTGATTGTTGCTACTGGCAATTTCCACCTTTTGTAGGAAGATCATTGTGTAGCATCCATAACTGAAGATCATGAGGTAACCTGTTGGGGCTGTGGATTGTGCCTTATTCTTTCACCATATACACCCATTTTCAAGTGTGGTTGGTGTGGGGCCATAACTAATCATAATGCACGTAAAATTGATAATACGTACTTTTGGTGGAGACGTTTGCGAGACAGGTGCTTTGTCTGTGTTCTCCTACTCTTCATGCTGTTCATTATAGGTAAGAGTCTATACCCTTAACTTGTATCCCTCGGAACTCGATCTAATTTCCTCCTCTCTGCATGCATATCTTTGGATGGTACATTTCCTCTTATTTGTGGAACCTCGGAAGACGTTACTTTGTGATCCCCCATTCATCAACTACTTGCAAAGCATACAATCTTTTGTCGTGTATGGTGATGTATGATGCTGAAACAAAGAAGTCTGCTGCATTCCAGTGATGAATATGAACTACAATTGAAATTTGCAGAAGATAATTTGTGTGTTGATAGACTTACATTTTCTTGAAGCTTGATCTTGGGGAAGACATAGATTAAATTATAAAAAGAGGTTTCACTAATTTTTTTTGTTGAGGGGAGGTTGAACTATGTTATATTGGATTGAATGGCTATAAGTTCACCCTTGTCAAGGATTAGACACAAACTTTGGTTGCTTCCCACCTAATCAATAAAGGATTCGTTTATACCTCTGTAAGCAAGTGGATGAGAAAGATGTTCTTGATATCAAGCTTGCAATTAGGGATTTATGAGTAATGTTTAATTATTATTCATTCTACAGGGAGAATGTTACATACCGTTAAACTAGTGATGCTAATGGGTATACTAATGAGTTATCAATATATGAATTTTACTTAAGCCTATAATAATAAAGATGAAGGCATAGGAACATAAACTGCATAATCAGAAATTGGTTTAACATGATAACTTAAAGAGTTTAATAGAGCTAACCTAGAGCACTTGATATACGCAACAAAGTTCATTGACGTGGAAGCGGTCATCGTTGCATGTAGATTGAAGCTTTCTTAAGCTCTATACGGTTTGCTTCAGAATGGGGCTGAATCAAATACAATATCGTGTAGGCAATAGGGACTTGATCTCCTTTATTTATAGGCCATGGAAACCTAGAGACTCGTCACTAAGAGTCCTCGTTTATCTTTAGATTGATTTTCAGATAATAGAATATATATACACTTACCTTACTGTTAATCAGGTAATTAACTTGATGAATTATCCTACTCATATTAGGATATATATATATATATATATATATATATATATCCTAAGATGTGACTGTAGCTGATTTAGGATTCTCTTGATAAATATACATGTTTAATCAATTGTCCTTTAATATTTATTACAGATAATGATGAAGTCCAATTTATTTCCAACATAATGGTGCATCCAACACTCCACAAGTTGGAGCATAGATGTTTATCAAACCCAACTTGTTGCAGATAAACTGTATCTTTCATAGAGGCTTCATGATGATTCCTGCCAATTGATGCTCAGTCTTAATATGAATGTGAACAATCAATGGAGGACTAACCTTATTCCTTACCATCTACTTCAATGTGTTTAATTATCTCACTCAACACTTTGATCCTTGGCTATATGGATCACATTGTTTATAAAAACATAGGCTCATCAATTTAAATACTTAGTATGGCTCATGGCTCCCTGTTTGACATATCAGCTAACTATAACTTTATCTTTTATGGCCATGATAATTCATGGATCTGATTTGATATATCCAACTGATCATGCAGGTGGCGGTATCTGGGCTATTTATCCTATTGTCTTTTCCTTCAGTTATTTTTGTGGCATATTTCATATGACTCTATCGATTATCTTATCGGTAACCACAATTGCTACTTACTTCCTTGCGGCATTCCGATCTCCTGGGATACCTCCACTCATACCCTGGGGTAGTTACCCAGCGGTGGGAAAAGGTGGTCTCGACGGTTATACCTTTTGTAACTACTGTTCAAAGCCAAAGTCACCTAATAGTCATCATTGTCGTTCGTGTGGAATGTGCGTATTGGACATGGATCATCATTGCCCCTTTGTAAGCCTTCTTCATCTTCACTTTTGTTATACTGCTGTGAACTATGTGTTGAATGGTGGTTAAAATGTTTTCACCATTAGCTACTTAGCTGACCAATATCGGTGACAAGAAGGGTGGATGGAAATATATATAGGAGGGGAATACATTGTTTTATATGTATACATATAGATGCATATATATATATATATATATATGTGTGTGTGTGTGTGTGTGTTTTGCAAGCCGGGGGTCTTCATGGAAACAACCTCTTTATCCTTTGGGGTAGAGACAAAGTATGCATACATCTTACTCCCTAGACGCTACCTTTGCGTGAGATTTACAGTCTCCATTCGGTTTGGTTTGTATAGATGCATATATATAATAAATATATACATGTGTGGATATGTATATGCCGGAGGCTAATCATGTGAGAACCACCAAAAGGTTACCGACCCGTGAGAACCAATCTCAGTGTATTTCAAATCTAATGTTAGGATTTAAGGTGTTGTTTCATGTATATTTGTTTCGTAATGTATTTGTATCACAATGTGAAACTTTTTTATGTTTACATTTCGTTTCATAATGTGAAACAACAACGCTGCATTGATATAGAGTGTGAAACAACAAATAGTTCTCCCGGTTCTCAACCGCTTTGAGGTTCTCGTTTGATTATGCCGTTGTATATGCTATAAACACATTGCTTTCGTACCAATGTTCCTAATCAGTTAGTTAGATACTAAACATCGTTTTCATATCCTGTATATGTAGATTGGGAATTGCGTCGGTGCTGCAAATCATCGAGTCTTCATCATCTTCCTCATCTCAGCAGTGATAAGTAACCTTTATGTTTCGCTCATATCTTCGTTCACAGCATTTCATATCTGGCCACCCATAAGACAGGTTCCTATCGCAGTTCTCAGCAGTCCCTCCGACTACATGTTGGTTTACAGTTTCCTCAAGGAAACCGCACTCTCGTTTTCTACATCCGTAGAGTCTTTATCCCTCCGAGGTTTCATTCTAATTTACCTTTTTCTCGCAAGTGTTTCAGTCGAAATTGGATTAGGCGTGCTTTTGTGGCAGCAACTATCATATGTATACCAAGGAAAGACGTATCTAAGTCACTTGAGTTCTCGTGGCACCAACCGAGCTTCCAAAAAAGACTGCCAAAATATCGTTCGATTCTTCGGGTGCCCTTATTCGGCAACTAGATGTCTGCTCGGTTTTTGGAATTCCCGAAAGACTCACAAGAAGTGAAGCGTACCGTTTTTTAGACGCCTCAGATGTATTCCTGCCTTAGCTTAAGTAACATATACGAGAAGGGTGTCATGAGGTCCCTTGTTTTATGTTGTAAAAGTAAGAAACTTTGTGACTGATCAAAGAGATTCTTTAGAACAGATCTCTGTTCAAAAAGATTTGTTTGATTATTTACTAGAGTAAGATAGGGTTTGACAATGGGTTTGTAGATATTGAGAGAACGTTTTGGGAACTTCAAAAAAATTAAAAACTGAGAAACATTTTGGTAACCGTTTATCTGGACGGTATGTACATGTGCATACAAGTAATTGAAGTTATTTTCTGGTTTTTATGCACTCGTGCATGTTATACTATGTGCGTACCGGACAAATTGTTTACAAATTACTTGCATGCATATGTGCATATCATCTAGATGAACACAGTGGTCCTTGGTTTTTCACTTTTTTACGGTTTTTCCTTAAACCTAACAAATTGCTTGTATGCACATGGGTATATACATACATACATATATATATAAATATATACATACATACATATATAAATATATACATACATATATATATACATATATATATATATATATACATACATACATATATAAATATACATATATATATATATATATATATATATATATACATACATAGGGTTGGGTTCACGTGAGACCAGCCTGTTTTCGTGAGACCCGTGAGACCACATTTTTACACGTAAACTCACAGCAAAAACACTGTGAAGGTTTTAAAAAGTCACCTTCACAGCATTTTTGCTGTGAAGTTTCAAGTGTAAAATGCTGGTCTCACGGGTCTCACGAAAACAGGCTGGTCTCACATGATCCCAAGTCTACATACATATATATATATATATATATATATGGGCATAATTATTTGATAACTTTAAAATTTGTGAGATATGTGAAAACTTTTACCTTAAAGTTTTGTTTTATATGATTTTGTTTCTATCTAAATATAGTCTTTAATATATTGATTAATATATATTTGTTTTACAATGCATTTGTTTCATATGTATTTAGTTCAATATGAAACTTTTTTACGTATATATATTAATATATTGATTAATATATAGTCTTTTTTTTTCCTTGTATTTTGCTGATTTTCGACTTAAAAATTAAGATAAAATATTTGTATTTTTTTTTTATTAAATCTGTTGTCTCATCTCAATCTGCCTATTGTTACATTTTTACGTTTAGTTTTTGGTCAAAATGTGAAAAAAAAAAAGCCAAAATATCAAGAATGACGCTACATTTTCTAGTTTAGGATATTTCAAACAAATTATGAACCTACCATTAAAAAGAAGTGATTATAAGAATACTTTTGAGTATTAGAATTTACCATTGAATGTTTTTTTTTTCATTGTAAACTTATAATTAATGAGAATTACATATTCTTCTATTTACTGTTGTTCTATTTTATTTCCTATAATGCATCTTTTTTTTATTTCAAATTCTACTTGATCTCCATTCCTAGTATCATTAGATATATTACAATTGGAACACCACTTTTTTAAGTGTTTTAGGTCATAAAAAAGCATGATAAATATCGCAAAATCCTAATAATACAGAGGAAATTAAATGACTTCGGATACAAAGTACGGAGAAGTGTATATAACTTCAGTTCTCATTAAAAATTGAGATAATTTTTTACTTTATTATTGTATTGTGAGACTTTACAACTACTTGTAATTCTCAGGTTTCTATGCTTGGAAAAAAGAACCCAGAATTCATCCGGTACTAAGTCAATTGATCAATTCAAGGGAATCTGCCAATTCTGCTTCCCAATTCTCATCACGTAGCTAGCTTAACGCCTTATCTCGATAAAATATCCTTAAAGTATCCTATCTAAACCCATTCGCTCCCCATGCTTTCGCATCCCAGCGTCGGTAGTCTTTGCTGTTTCATCCCTTGTAGTAAATCCATCTCGAATCTCTCTTTATAGATGAAGACGTTGAGTAAGGGGGGCGGAGCTTGAAGAGCGAAGCGAGCTGCGCTAGCCTATTACGTTTTTCAACAGCAAGCTACGGTCTAACGCTTGCCTCCGGTGGCTAACCTAGGTTGGGGCGAAAACTCCAAAACTAGGGTTCCAAAAATGGGCTTTGCTCCCCTTTACAATATAATATGAAGAAACTCCTTTCAATCTCCCACTCTCGGTTTGGTATTCGAGAAGGAGCACTACCTAACTGAAATCTCTCACTACGAATCTTCAATATAGAAGTAGTTTTATAATGATTCTTTCACTCACATCCCCTCATAAGAGGAGGGATCATATTCGAAGTAGCGAGTTCAAGTAGATATTGGTGCTTGCCCGGGATTGGTGTTAAGTAAGCTCTTCAGCATAGACTTTAACGAGTTCTTCTATCGTTAAACGGCAAGGGGAGAACATGTAACGGCTTGCCTAGATCTCGTATTTCCCACRTAGTCCGTCGGTCAAACCAATGAGAACAAGGTCGAAAGCGCAACTTCTCATTCGAAGCATGAAAGTGATATTGCCTAATATTTATGACACTATGGTAATGAAGGGTTGAGATATATGGATGAGAATAATTGCAGATCAACAGTTAAATGAACCCAATGTCTATTTCCCATGGATGGATGCTACATAAGAACCACATTATGTGAAAGGTCCACATCAAATCAACACCTAAAACCAAACAACAAACAACGACCGAAAATTCCGACATCAATATCAAAACAAACGAAAGAAAACGAACCTCAAAACCTAAACTAATCCATTGGCTAATCAACTTCCGCACATGGTGTCTCCAATTGCGCTTTCTCCGCTTCCTGAACCTCTTTCTCCGTCTTCCTACCTTTCTTACACTTGTAGTACACGCTCATAAACGTACCCACGGCTCCATACTTGTTCCTACACTGCTCGTATAACCCAGCATCAAACATCCTCCAGAACTTCTTTTCATCCAGTTCCGAAACAGCATATTGTGGCTGGAACCCATGGTTCTCRATCAACCAGGTCTCCAACCGACGAACCGCGTCACACCCATCAAACACCTCACCCCTGAACACAGGTCCTGGTGTATAATAGACTCCAACATCTGTGTACATCTGTGCATATGAGGTGTCACCCTGTCTGCGTTCGTGCTCRAACCCTGGCTCTGGATAGATCATCGTCTTACATGGCAGCTTGTACATTCTGTGTGGGCAAAGCCAAAGGGGATATACCTGYATGTATAGTTTAAAGTATTCATCAAATAACTGTTTTTTCATAGAATAACGCTCGTTTTATAACCAAACACATCCATTATGTCCCACTCGGAACTAGAATAGTCATCAAATGACTGTTTTTTCTTAGAAACAATGTTCGTTTTATAACCAAAGACATTCGGTATATCCCACAGAAGTATGGAGGATACCATTTATTTTATAAATTCAGTAGCAGAAAGTTTATTTAGAAACCGTAAATATTTTGAAATCAAATATTCATGGATTATTCGTCATTCATATTTCATTGTTCACAATATTCATCATGAATATCATTCATATTTCATTATTCACAATATTCATCATGAATAGTTGGTTCTCAGAATATTTACGGTTCAGTAAATATGTATGCATCTGTGAAAGTGTTCACACGTACCTCCATCTCGCGATCGACCCACTCAAGGGCATCTGGAACCTTGTAAAGAGGGACAAGCATGTCTTGAATGACATGATTCTCGTGATAATAGTTTCGAATGGCTTCACCTTGTGTAGCCTTGAGGAGCGAAACCTTTGGTGGCATCAACCAGCCAAGAAGAAATCTGAACCACCATTGATCAGCAAACGGAAGGATAAGCTTCCCTTCCCAATAYAAACACCGAGTGTGCCTATGGTAATACTCTCTAGTYGGAATGTACTCCACAAACTCCCCTTTCTTCAGTGCCGTTTGAGCATGCTGGTAAAACCATGGCTTGAACCACCAACCAACACTATTGATCTTATTCCCTTTCTTCTTCGCCTCTTCTTTGGATGCGTATTTTCCCGTCATGCAAACACCCTCRTGAGGATTGTAGATCATCGTTTCCACAAAATCAGGAACCATTTCATTGTTCTCATCATCGAATCTGGGGGCAAAAGAGTCAATATACCCCTGKGCAAGATCTCTTACGTTGCCTCTAACGGGTTTGTAAGTCAATTTCATGTACTCTTTGACGGGTATAAGTTTGATTTCGGCAGACACTAGCAACCCAAGAGTCCCTTGAGACCAGGGGATGGCGTAGAAAAGATCAGAATACTCATTGTCTTTTGTGGCTCGAACCACTTTACCATCTGCAAGAACGATCTCATAGGCCACCAGATGCATATATATATATATATATAATACTCATTGTCTTTTGTGGCTCGAACCACTTTACCATCTGCAAGAACGATCTCATAGGCCACCACGGTATCAGAGAAAAGACCATACAAATGGGAGCTTCCCTCAATTCCATAGCCGTTTATGAGCCCACCAACGGTTAGATCATCAAGCTCAGCAACAACAGCAAGAGCAAGATTCAAAGGGACAGTGGCTCTAGTGATCTGTCCCATATTGACCAAAGGCTCACATTTTGCAACCATTCTCTCTTGGTCTATTTCAAGAATGTTACGGAARGCCGAAAGGTCCACTTCAAAATGTCTGACTCGTTTATAGTCAACATTTCTCATCCCAACTGCAATCCAGGGCTTTCGGGCTGTGCAAACAAGACCATCCTTTGATGGGTTCCTTTCTTTCAGRCGTTTCACAACTTTCTTGACGTTTTCTTCRTGTTCCTGCTGACGYTGTTTGTAGGACTTCCACTCAGATCTAACGTCCCCAAGATACGTGAGGAAGTAGAGAGTGAAAGAGATGGGAAGTACGACAAATATAACGATGATCCATCTAAACTGAACAAAATAGTCSACCCACACCTTCTTCCTCTTCGGGCGCACCAATGGGGCCTCAAGATCCGCCATTATTACGATCTATAAAATGGGGAACAATCAGATATTTCATTAAAAAACCAATCATAATCAAAGCATCACAAGCTCATCACACCATCATAAAGAATACAAGAACCCTTGCTAACCCATTGCTGCTTAATATTATGCATCCAAATGGCTTTAAATGATAATAAAAATGGAAAAAGATAGCAATTGATTTAAAAATATATTGAAATAATAAAATATTGTATGGCAATATTATTTATTTAAACCAATCGAGGAAGTATGCAAGCATCTTCATGGGATTCCCACTCATCCAACCAAAAAACAGTCAAGATTTAAAATCAAATACTTCCAAAAAAATGCAGAAACCCGGATATAGTACATATTGATGATATTAAGTACAGATTTATGGACCACAGTCATGAGGCAAAAATCAAATAGTAGWTCCAAAATCAATCTAGAAATCCCAATATATTAAATATATTAATGACATCAAAAACAAGATTTACAGACCACAGAAGTGAGGACCAGGTGAGTTGTTCATCTTACAAGCAATCAAAAGAATCTTTGTTTGATTATATCTCCCCAAATGCAGACAAGAAGATGACTCAGTAACTTAAGATCATCAAATAACCTTCAAATCGACTAAAATCATGGTTGAAAGTTGTCAATAAATCATCATCTAGCTTTTATAAGAGCTTATAATTCACATTCGAATTCGATATGGGAGAAGATTGTTACGAACCCCAGTTAAATTCGTTCCTAAACTTACACAAAAACCTAAAGAAATCCCAAAATCATTATTTCCAGAAGATGCACACATGGAGGCATGCTTAATACACTTAAACCCTAAAAGAATTTCACCATTTTCTTATGTTATTTCATGATACAATATGGCGGAATGGAGGTAATACAATATACTATAAGGGCATCAAAACAAACCACCATAGGAATCCATTAAATTCCCTACGAAGAAAAGCGCAAATCGAAATCAATGCATGCACGAATAGATCTACAAACCTAGTAAAACWGAAMACCCAAAATGTAAATGAATCAAAAAACCCTTAAGCTATAGCATATCGTAACAACTAACACCCATAAACAGAAATCTTCAAACCAGCACTCTGCTAAAAAAATATAAGATTCACAGCCAAAACCCCTAGGAAGTGTTAATTTCGGTCAAATGAAATATTTAAATGATGTCTGAAATTTTAAGATCTTGGTGCGTTTGAATRGAAAATTGATAAAGAAGCGAATAAGAAGATAAAGAGCAATGAGAAAGAGGTGATTACCCAAACGGAATCGGAATCGCAATTGCAATCGGAATCGGAGAGATCCGATGAGCAAAAGGGTCGRATCTTCTGGGGAGAAGAAAGCTTCTCACTGCTAAGTAGCAAGTGAAGTAAGAGCGTCTAGGGAGAAGACGATGGATTATCCTTTATAGCAAAAAAGGTAGTCACGTTTTCATGTCATTAATTTAAAAAATATTATTATTTAATGAAAGAAATAGCAACTTTCGATTAATTTTCTATTAAAAAAAAGAAAAAATCTAAAAAATTCAATGGATTTTAGCATTTGAATTGATTAAGTTTTTGGATAATTTTTTGGAACAAATAAGTATTTGAACATTTTAAACTTGTTAAACAACTCTTTGAAATATTTTTAAACCTATTATATATACATCCTTATGACCTATATAACTAATTAACGTAGTAAAATAATGAGAAAAAAAAACAATGAACATTCATATTTTGAGCGATAAATTCCATAAACATTTTTTGAACCAAAAAATTACTTACATTATATAAATATAACAAAAATATCAAAAAAGTACTTACATTTAAAAGTAAAATGGACAACCTACGTGAACGATAAGATGACAAAGAAACATGATATAATGGGTAAATTTAATTTAAAAAGTTAGTCAATGCTATAACGGGTAAATTTTTTAAAGTACGATGCCCTAATAAAAAATATTTTGAAAGTACATTGTTGTAATAAAAAAAATAAAAATACAACACTATAATAAAAAAATTTATAAAAATAAGTTACTATTTCTCGCATTTTGCCCTATAATAATAATAATGTAAAAACGCTTGTTTAGTTTGAATTATATGAATTTTTGATCATTCCTTTTAGAATTTTTTTTCGTTTTAGAATTTTTTGGATTTTCTTGTAAGCTGTCAAAATATGTTACCAAAGCAAACCATCTATCATATGTATCAACAGTATTAATTAAAGTGATTTCAAATTAATCTTTACAAATTAAGGGTGAGCAGCGGAATCGGGTAACCGTTTGCGGAATCGGAACCACCGGTTCCGGAACCGTAACCGATATGAGTGGTTCATGTTCCGGTTCCTAAAATACGGAACCGATTGAGAACGGTTTCGGTTCCGGTTCCGGTTCTCAGTTTTTCGGAACCGTTACCCGCCGGGTACCCGAAACCGGCGATTGTTTTTCAATAAAAAAATAATTGATTTTTTTCAATACCAAATTTATATTAAGTTATATCTTCAAATGACGCAGTCATCTTCATTCTTCATCTACTTTCTAGTTCTACTAAACTACAGTTCGTAGTATGTAATCGTTAAGTTTTGAACATTTACAATTATAGTATATAATCGTTAAACTTTGAATATTTTCTATTAGTCTATTATGGTTTGTAATCGTTAGAACAATATTTGTAATCATTATTCCGTATAATTTGTATTCTTGTTTATTTGATTTAGTGTTTTGGCAATATTTTATTTTTATTTCTAAATAACAAAATTTTAATATTTTAGGAAGCGGGTACCCGGTTCCAAAAATTCAAGAACCGCTCTAACCGGTTCCGGTTCCGGTTCCAATATCTCAAGAACCGCCGGTTCCAGTTCCGGTTCCGGTTCCTGTCAAAAAGGGCGGATACCCGCCTATGCTCGCCCCTAATACAAATTATAATCGATTGACAGTATCATATCATATATGAAAATCACTAACATATACCGACTTATTTAATTATTTATTAGTTTTTGTATTTGATATATAAAATATCATAGCTTTTAACTTTTTTGGCACATTTGAATATTTGCAAGTTTTATTACTTACAATTAAAAAAAACACTTAAACATAACATGTAAATTTAAACAAAAGTGATATAAAACCGGTACCAAATACCAATAGAAAAAATATTAATTGATACCATTCTTTTACATTTAATTTTACACAACTTAAATTTTAATAAAGCTTGTAGTGAATATTTTAATTAAATATACTATTCACATTTAAAATAAGTTAAATACATATAATTTATATAATTAGAATGGTATTCGCGCAATGCAGCGAGATACATCTTGATTTTAATTTTTATTTTATTCTTTGTCTCTATTGATGTTATAATACGATTTTATGTGTTTTTAAGAAAACAATAACGATTTTATTTTTGAATAAAATATAAATTTAAAAAGAAATATATCAATGTTAATATCAAATCAACTATTTTAAAACTNTTTATATAATTATAATCTATATTAAAAATTAAAAACATAAAAAATATAATAACAAAATATTATAAAAGTTGAAGGGTAAAAACTGAAAATATCAAAAGGTTAAAACTGAAAAATAATATATAGGAGGGGGTATAGAAAATGTAGGGGGAAGAGTGTAGGAGGGGGTGGGGTTAGAAAACCCCTTTAAAAATATATATTATTATTTAAGACAGTGTTCGGTACGTAGCAGAACAAAACAAAACGAGACAAGACAGGACTAATTGTGTGTCTTCTGTTTGTACTATCCTTAAATGTTGTTCAATGTTTATTTTATATCATATAATAATTATAAATGACAACAAATCAACCAAAAATATATTTAAATTATTTAATCTATGATATTAATATTTTTTTTTACATTCCAATACCACATGTAAATAACATTTATCATACCATAAATTCTAAATACACACATAATTTAAAAAGTTAAAACACAACAATTGTAAATAACATTTGTCACGTCATCGTCAAAAGTTTAACATTTCAAGAATGGAGGCTGGAATCGAGAATGGAGGTTGTGGAAGAGAAGAAAGATGATGCAATTACATTATGTTTGTATTTTGATATCAAATAATAAGGGCAATATTTTAATCTCAAATTTGGTCTCATATTGTTCTACATTTTTTGGTGGAACAAAAAAACTCAAAAATAGTCTCACCAAATCTCACTTTTGTCTCATCTCATTTTTGTCTCATGACACACCAAACATGAGACTATTTATTTTTATCTTGTCACGTCTCACTCAGTCTGCATACCAAACGCACTGTTAAATGAAACAAAATGAAATAAATAGCAACTTTCAAATTATTTTCTATTAAGAGATTGTATTTCGAAAAATTTACCTATTCTATGAGGTTTTCATGCCACCTTATTGTATAGTAAGTTGTGTTATAGGTGATGTGACATTTCTTATTACAATATTGTATTTTCAAAATTATTTTATTATAACTTATATACAATATTGTAGTTTTTAATTTTATTATTTTATTATTTAAACACTTTACATATTATTTAATAAATATATTAAATGAATTAGAAAATTTTCAAATTATTCATAAATATATTAATATCAATAAAACTAGTAAATCATAATTTATCTCGTTAACGTTTTAAAAAATATGTGTTTTTGAAAAAGAAAATAAGAATCAAAACTTTTTTACCAAAAAATATATTTTATCTTTTAAAGAATATAATATATTTGTTTAAAAAAAGTTAGTAGATTACAACTGGTTAACCTAATAGCAAAATATACTATTATTTAATTTATATAATTTCCTTCTAAATGAACTGGTTTGGACATACATAAAACTATAAGAACAAGAAAATGAGATATATTTAACAAAATCATCAGCCAACGTTATTATTATAACACGATTACAACTAGTGGTACCAAATATATAGAGAGAAAAACTATCAAGCAAGTAAAAACGGGTTTTCATTAAAATGTACTAGACCACTGGGAGGAACCGTCGAAAATGACTGAAGGAATTAAACACACAAGAGTTAAAAAAAATGAAATTTTACCTACCATATTTTAAAATTTTGACACACTAACCACAAAGGTGGTACTTAATTGGTTTGAGTTTGGCTTCAAAGATCAAAAGTACCAGAAAGTCTCAGATTCAAATCCAATGAGGAATAAAAATTCTCTTGTGGTCACAGAGATTCAAATGTGGTGACTCCGGACTATCTGCAAAGCAGGTGATCGCCCTGATATTAGTCGGCTCGCATAGCGAGTTGGATATCCATGTTAATAAAAAAAAATTGACATTTGAGTAGGGCTTTTCCCCACCTTTAACAATGTAAATCCGGATATTGCTTCCATATAGAAGCAATATAGACTTTTTTAGATAAAAAAAAGAACAGATCTGTTAAATATCATATTTAAATCAGTCATAATTTTCAAATTAAATCATTGGTGCTTTGGTTTTTAAATGTCCACGTTTTTCTTGCACCACGAGTAATGGGACCATGAAAACGAAAAAATGACTCGTGATAGGTTTTCGTGCATCTCCTACTTATTACATGTCTTTTTCATTGACAAAAAATATCCATTAATTCGTCTCAAAATTCAAACCATACAATGACTATGAATTAAAAATTTATTTTTATTATGTTTAAAAAAATTAATTAAAATAATTATTTTTATCGGTTGGTTTCACCTCTTCAGCCATTTTTTATAAGATTTACCAAAATAACATTAGGTCTGTAATTTTCTTTTTTGCATATCTAAGTAAAATATGTAAAAAGAAATTGCAGACAGAAGTGGAAAGTGGTGTACATTTTTTTGTCTTTTAGTTGGGTCTGACGGACGTGATTTTTGTGAACCTGTGGCTATTTTAGTAAACCTGAAGAGAAAATAGCTAATAAATACCCGTGCATCATCATGGTCCTCTTACGTATCTATGAAACTGATATTCAGATATAGCGATCAAACATCAACAAGGGTATAAACAAGTCGAGTTGAGTCGAATAAGAGGTTATTCGAGTTCGAAATGAAAAGATAATATCAGGGTTGAACTCGATCAACTTTTTCAAAGTCTGGCTCAAACTCAAACTCGGATATTTTTCAGTGTTTGAACTTGAGTTCAATGCTCGTTTATGAGTTTGAACTTGAGATCAATTAACTCATTTATTTGCTCGAGCTCGATGATTTTTATATTTTGATTTTATAAGTTGTAACATATAAATATGTTTACCTTGAAAAGTATATGTCTGAATGGCTCGACTCGACTCGATTCGTAAAGGTTAATCGAGCTTTCGAACGAGTCGAATCGAACATTAGTGTTATGAAGTTTGACTCGTTAAGTTAAGCAAACTTTTTTTTTGTTGCTAAGATTAACTTGAGCTCGAAAATTATTAAG